ATTTTAATTTAAGTGATTAATCAAGATGCTACAGCATCAGAGCAAAGTTGTGAAAATATTGAATTTGGGTTGTCAAGGCAAATGAACCTGTAGTTTTATCATATCCGATCATCCTGGTCTGTCTTTTTTTATTGAATTTTTCTTCTTTATCATTTCACCATTTGAAGCATTAAATCCTCCACTGAAGAAGGTAAAATGCTGAACAAAATAAAACCCCAGTGAGAATAGGTAGGCCTGGATGTTCAAAAGACACTGACTAAATTAATTATTTTAGCCCACATGCTTTGTTTAATTAATAAAGAAACAGCCTAAACGACTAGGATGATGATTAATACACAATTAGAGGGAATCTCTATGAAGTGGATGATTAAATAAAATATATCTGAGTGATTTAGTCTGTGCTGTAGTTTCAATATTTAATAAAAATGTATTATTACACAATTGATAACAAAATATTTTGGCAGTTTTGCTACCATTATAAAAAATAAATGGTTTTTCTTTTTTACTTGTTTTGTTAGAACAGTGCTGGTTCGTATTGTATATATTTTTTATTATTTTTTTTATCCCTCCACCTCCCCGCCGTACCTTAGGGAGACCCCATACTGGTGGACCTCAGCCTCTAATCTAGTTTTACTTCTAATTTTGGGTCCTGGGGTACTTTACGCCTTTCTTCGGTCTCACTCTGTGAGGGGAGGAGGCCCAAGGAAGGTAAGGGTAAATTCTTGTATTTCTTGCTGATTATTTGTTCCTATTCTAAAAGGTCTCCCCTTGCTGGTTACTTCTTTGATAATTAAATATTAACATATTGACTACACTATATATAATTTATTAAAGCCTTAATAAATTAGGAATAAACAACCCGAATTTTAAAAATTAAAAAAAACACTATTGACCTACCTTACTTAATAAGTGTACCTATCTTACAATTTATCGCTATAAATAAACAAATAAATAAATAAATAGGTGCCTAGTTTACAAATAGCTTGGCTTATTGCCTTTAGCGTTTCGAAAGCGTGCTTTTCTTTTATTAGGTCATTTAATATTGTATATTTATGGAATAAGGTTTTCTGTGTAAATAGATTATGAGAAGATTTAATTCAACCACCCTAAAAGTTGTGCTTTTTCCCTCAGTAAATCTCAGTGATGAAGATAACATTTAAAGGGAATCTCTATGAATGATGTGATTAGAAAATGAAAACTTCTGAGAGATTTATCCAGTATTTTTTCCAAAATATTTGTTCTATTTTTTATAAAATAAACTCATTTGGGGGATTTATACCCCTTCAGGAACTACAAAATTTTTTTTTATTATTTCTGTAACTATTTTATTTATTTTTTAAATTAATTAATTTATTTTTGAGATGTTCTGTTGAGGTCTCTGCAAGGTCATGAACCTTGATTTTGTTGTTTCTGAACATTTTGGTTTCCCTATGCTCACCATTTTGGTTTGTAAGATATATTTCATCTTCTTGCCATCGTCTGTTACAGGTTAAGTTTAGGTACACAAACTAACCAAAGAAGATGATAAGAAGCCGAAACAGATTTAAGACCAAAACAGCTAGGCAGACCAAAATGTTCAGTAATGACCAAACTTATTACCTTGCAGGCCGTACAGAGAAATTACTAAATCAATTTTTTGCAAAGTGAATAAGCAAACAGTAAGAATTCTGATTGGAGTTGTGATTCCTCAAATGTCACAGGTGAGAAAGGATATAATTAATTCAACTACGAACTGGCATCGTATGTATTTACTACATTACTTAAAGCATATAGACTGTGTTTTCACACTAAGGATTAAATCAGTAATTGTTCAATGATGTCGGTGTCATTTGTCAGTAAGGTCTATATGTAAAAGTTTTGAAGATTTAATTCAAAAAGTGAAGATTCAAATCTCGGTGATGAAAATAATATTAGAGGGAATCTCGATGAACATTGTGATTAAAATTTGTTTAAATTCTGAGAGATTTGACTCGCTTTGGTAACTCATATGTATTGTTAAAAAATGTAAGCCTTTTTTTTTAATTTACTTATTTTTTATGATGGTAGAACCAGGTTCATGTACAAAAAGTGAAATAATAAAAAGTGAATCTGTAATAAAATAGTCTGTAATAAAAAAAATCTATAAAAAGTATGTAGTGATTCTACATACCCCACCATCATTATTTCTGCACTATGAACATTGTGATTATAAAAATTCATACTTCATTTTTCATTAATTAACTAATTATTTAATTGTATTCTTGAATGTATATTTTTAAACAAATGTAACTCTTATTTATTTTGGTTTATTTATATATCATTTAGTATTCAGTTGGGGGGGGGGGCTTTATTCTCAAGAAAAGTAAATTAATTAAATTTCTCGAATGAAAATAATATTTAATGGAATCTCTGAGCAGTGTCAGTAAAAACTAAAGAAATTCTGAGCCATTGGACCATTTTGTCATTGTAAAGTTTTGATTTTGTATTAATACGGAGCTTCCAAAACCACGGTCTGCAAACCCCTTGTGGGTGTGTGGCGAATTTCAAGAAAAATTAATAATTACAAAAATAAACGTAGAATGAATAAATAAAATTAAAAACCATGACAATGAGTACTGAAAACGAAAGTTTTTTATTTTTATTTTGCAGCAGTAGTCTTATGATTTCACAGACATCCTTTAGCTATGAAACAAATGCTAGCCTCTTTTAAGACAGTTTTTGATGAGTCTGTTCAAATTATTGATTATATGAAGTTGTGGCCATTGAAGTCAAATCTTTTCACAATATTATGTGAATACAGGAAGCCTTCATCATTCCCTGATTCTGTATGCAGATATGAGGTGGCTGTCTCTCGAATACAGGAATTACGTTTCTGAAGTATATCTCTATTGGCAAATTGGCCAATGTTTTCAATGATGAGAAATTACAATTTATACTGTCGTATTTATCGTATATTTTCATTAAAATGAATGAGATTAATCTTTCCTTACATGGGAGGAAGTGTAACACAACTTTCAAGGCTAATGACAAAGTTCTCAACTTCAAAAGAAAAATTCAGTTTTGGGTTGAATCTCTTTCTCTCTCTCTTCCCTTGCTCCAATTATAAGCAGATCTTCAGAAAATCAAAGAATGAAATCTCACTGATGAAAATAGCATTTAAGTGAATCTGGGTGAGCATTATGATTATAAAAATTGGAATAAATAATCAGAGATTGCTGACTATTCATTTTTCTTTGATTAACTAATTTAATTGTATTCTTGAATGTATATTTTTTAAACAAATGTAACCAATATTTATTTTAGTGTATTTACTATAATTTCAATTTCTTGTGATGGTTCAGTTTTGGGGACGTTGATTCTCGATAAAACTAAACGAATTAAATCTCTGTGATGAAAACTTATTAGAGGGAATCTCTATGAGCCTTGTGATTATAAAAATTAAGAAATTCTGAGAGATTTAACCAACTTTAGTCTTCATTTGATGTTTACCTGATTATTCCAATTGATTGTTAAAGTATATTTATTTAAAAAAATTATCATTATTTATTTAATCTAATTTTCTTCCAAATTTTTGAAAATGGTGGTCTGTTATTACCTGTCTCATATTTCAATTTTTTTCCTTTCTTTCTTTTTTTAATATTTTGGTTAGAAACAAAGTTAGGCGAACTCTAGTTAATTAAAGTATTTAGTTATCCTACTAGTTATTAGTTTAGTTATTCTAGTTGAATTGATTCTCTATGATGAAAACATATTAGAGGGAATCTCTATGACCCTTGTGATTATAAAAATTAAGAAATTCTGAGAGATTTAACCAAGTTTAATCTTCATTTGATGATTACTTGATTATTCCAATTGATTGTTAAAGTATATATATTTAAAAATTATTTAATCTAGATTTTATTTAATCTAATTTTCATCCAAATTTTTGAGAATGGGGTCTTTGTTACCTGTCTCATATTTCACATTCTCAATTTTTTTTTGTTTTAACATTTCGGTTAGAAACAAAGTTAGGCAAACTCTAGTTAATTAAAGTATTTAGTTATACTACTAGTTATTAGTTTAGTTATTCTAGTTGAATTGAATCTCTATGATGAAAACATATTAGAGGGAATCTCTATGAGCCTTGTGATTATAAAAATTAAGAAATTCTGAGAGATTTAGCCAACTGTAGTTTTCATTTGATGATTATTTAATTATTCCAATCTATGGTTGTAGTATACAAATTAAAAATTTTGATCATTATTTATTTAATTTAATTTTCTTCTCAAATATTTGAAAATTGTGGTTTTGTCTCATATCTCACATTCTCATTTTCCTTTTTACATTTCAATTACAATCAATGTTTTTGTACTAAGTTACGCTCACGATATTGACACATAAGCATCAATGTTTTTGCATGAGGAAGACTGGTGTAAGTTAACACCTTCGAAATGCTAGGCATAGACAAAAAAATTTTGTGCAGTGTTATGGTTCAATGAAAATTAAATTCACTCAAACTTCAATACTAATCCTATACTGTCAAAAATATTGGGCAATTTGTAATATTGTGCAATATAATTGATCGTCTTAGTGTCCCACCATACAAAATTCAAGTTTTTAAAAAAAGTTCGTCATTGAAGATGGCATAAACTGAAACGCACCCTAGTGGCATCTAATAAGTTGATAATGAGATAATAAGTGGTCAAGCGCCGATCAGTTGAACAGGTTAAAAACTATTTTTATTCTTGTGAAAACTAAATAAATTAAATCTCAATGATGGTAATAATATTTAAGGGAATCTCTATGAGCATTGTGATTAAAAAACTAAAAAAATTCTGAGAGATTTAGACCGTTTAGTCATTTTTTTGTTTTCAATTTCTATCCTGTATAATAAAATTAGAAAATACAAATTGTAATTCTATTTGATTGCTTATGGAAGCCATAATTGATCAAATAATTGAAATTTCTATTATAATACGGTTAAATATTTCTAGCTATTAGAGCTGATATGACATAACCTAATGGAAATTTATTATAAACAGGGAAGGCTGAGAAGAAGCCTGAAAAAAAAGTAGAGAAGAAGCCAGCGGCATCTGCACCTGCTCCGGCTTCTGCTCCAAGCACTTCGAGTGCCAAGCCCGCAGCTGCTAAGTCTTCAAAGACTCCCGCTCCGGCGCCTAAGGTAGCTACAGCGAAAGTAGCTGCTGCTGCGGCCGCTGCAGCGAGCGCCTCGAAACCCGCCACTGCCAAACCAGCGGCAAAGGCGGGCCAAAAGGCGGGTGGCAGCAAACCAGCAGCCAAGTCTGCCGGCGCGGCCAAACCTGCTGCAACCAAGGCCAAGAAAGCCCCGGCAAAGGCACCTGCCAAGGTATCTATTTTTTAGTTTATAAATCAATTGTTTAAAACTAGATAAGATGCTTTTTTTTCCTAAGTGAACAGTTTTCTGTAGGTTTTGATTAATTCAGAACTTTAAATTTGCAGGGAGCAGCGAAGCCCGGTGCCAAGGCAGCGGCCAAGCCAGGATCGAAGCCTGCGGTTAAAAAGACTCCGGTAAAACCTGCAACTAAAAAAGTTGTAGAAAAGCCAAAACGAGGTGTCGCGCCAAAGTCTCAAAAGGGAGGGAAAGTTGTTAAAAAGACACCAGTTCAGAAGGCCCTTAATGTCAAACTAAAGGTAAATCTCCGTATATTTTTTTTCTATTCATTGATTTTCATTTTATATTTTCTAATCACAGGTCATCAGAGGAAGCCATGGGACGAGGACGAGGAAAATTAGGACGTCTGTCCACTTCAGGAGGCCAAAGACATTTGAGCCGCCGAGGAAGCCTAAATATCCTCGCAAGTCTGTTCCGAGGAGGAACCGTATGGACGCGTACAACATTATCAAATCGCCGTTGACGACTGAGGCTGCCATGAAAAAGATAGAGGACAACAACACACTCGTCTTCCTCGTCCACCTCAGGGCTAATAAGCATCATATTCGCACAGCTGTCAAAAAACTGTACGATATTGATGTAGCAAAGGTCAACACCCTCGTTAGGTAAAAAAGATATTTTATGTATCACTATTCAATCTATTTCATTTATTTATTATTAAACATTAAGCTTTCATTTATACAATATATTTAAAATATTTTTTTATTAATTTTTGTTTTAGGCCTGACGGAAAGAAAAAAGCCTATGTGAGATTAGCAAGAGACTTCGATGCGTTGGACGTTGCAAATAAAATTGGGATCATATAAATATCTCGTTTTTGTATATATTTTTATGTTCTCAATATAACAATATAAAAAAATTTCTTTTTATTAAATGTCAATATTTTTTATCCTATAATTCAAATATTAGTTCTTCGTGTGTATTTCAGTATTGAAAGAAAAGTATATTATAGTGAAAATGACGTAAAAGAAATAAAATTTAAAAATTACCGCCATCTGCATTATTCGTGTATTTATTAGCGAGTTGTTTAGCATATGGACAAATGCGTAATTTAACTCGTAAGCAGTTATTGGAGGGTGGCTTATCAAAAAACTGAACTTGGTAAATGTGTTAAGTTTGGTCCATCAAATGTCCAAACTGGCGGGCGCGTGCGCAGTCGAGATTTGCCGTTCCATCATAGTATAAATGCAATTTCAAACTGTCAGTCGGCCTGTTCAGTCACGTTTTTAATCCAGGTTTGTGACTGGTTGTTGACTGTCAAAACAGTCCGTAGATTTTATTAGGGACTGGCAATTGTAAACATGCGCAAATTTTCCCTTCGCTCTCGTCAAATCACAAAGTTCTTATGTGACTAGGGGGACTGGATTTATATACCAAATAAATGTAAAAATAAAACATTTTGTTTCGAATTTTTGAAAAGACTTATAATTTACACTTATTAGTTGAAAAATGTGAGAAAAAAAAAGGAAAAAATACGCCTTCGATCCACTCGGCCGCTTCATAAATCACCGAGAATCCTGATTACACGACATTTGATGGCAAAAAAGAGGGGAAAAAATCAACAAAATCAGACACCCATTATTAGAAATGGGGACTGATTTTGGGATCCTGGAAACAATCTTCACAACTTCCTACAAAGTCTCAACGGACTACAAAGGAGAGGAAGAACACAGGAGAGCATCAGATACAATATTATGATACACAGATGGCTCCAAAACAAACGAAGGAACCGGATCAGGAGCTTTCTGTACAAGCCAAAAACATGAGCAATCAAACTCATTAGGGAAGTACACTTCGGTCTTTCAAGCAGAAATACATGCCGTCAATGCTTGTTCCCTAGAAAATCTTAAAAGAGGTTACACTGGCAAAAAATCCTCATAAGATCTGATAGCAAAGCAGCCATTAAAGCATTAGGGTGTAAAAGAATCACATTAAATTAGTCAGTGAATGCATCCAAAATCTCTAAAACCTGAGGAAACACAACAACCTGATGATATCTTGGGTGCCAGGCCCAGGGGAATTTTGAGTAACGAGAAAGCATACAATCTGGCCAGAGGAGGATCTGCAAGGCCATACATAGGCCCCGAACCTATTCTTGGGATAGCAAAAACAAATATAGAATCCCTCATCGCAGAATGGATCCAAACAAAACAAAAGTTTAAGTGGATAAACTCTAGCGGTGCTAGACATAGTAAACTTATGATGAAACAACCCTCACCGAGACTGGCAAAAGCACTGCTGCAATTGGAGAGGGCCAAATTCAGAGAAGTGGTAGGACTACTAACCGGTCACTGGCATCTGAGAAAACATCTACACAACATGGGTTTAAACAACGATGATCCCATTTGCAGATTATGTAATGAGGAGGAAGAAACAGCCACTCATATCATCTTCGAATGTGAAGCAACAGAGCTATTGGAAATGTCCATTGAGCAATGGATATTTAGTCTAACACACGGAAAAAACTTAGGGAATCAAATTGCAGCAGTGATAGTCAATGACCTGATACTTCTAAGAAGGATTGAGTTTATTGCACTGAACTAAAGAACTAGGAAGGTACAATAAGCCAAAAGGCTGCAGTGCCTGAGGAGCGCAAACCCCGCTTCCTAGTATCCTTTTTTACCATACCATACCAAGGCGAGCACCGAATATTGTTGCTCGGCGAATAACCGAGCACCCGACCCCACAAGTCGGGATCCGGCGACCTTTGCTTGGCATTTGGCGAAACCTGCGTCTGGATGCATTTACATAGAAATATAAATATCAGGTTGTTCGTAGCAACAGCTCTTACCATGCTTTCTCCATTGTTTACTTTCTGGAATAACAAAGATTGTAATTGTATAGTACAAGTGTTTCTCCTACAGACCCCCAGTATCATTCAGGGGATCCATGGAAAATTAAAATTGATTTGGCGGTCCCTGAACATATCGTCAGGGGGTCTGTGTAAGGTTTAATATAAAATAGTGATCCATTTTTATTATGGAAATTAGCAGTATTGTAGTACTCGGTAACGAGTAAGAGAACTGATAAGATAGGCAGTACGACTAAGTAACTGCCGTAACTTGTAACTGTAATCATATTGGTAACGAATAAGAAATAAATGGAGATCGTGAGATGCGGTTTAGCGTGACGTAGATTTTAGAAAAACATTTTCTTTAACGTGCCAACGTTTCCATCTTCATTGAGATCATCTTCAGGGCCTGGGATTTATAAACATTGTTTAAATTATACAAATACATGTAGAATGTGAAAAAAATTAATGTATACAATGCTAGAAATTTTAAATTCAATCGAACTTTTGTAGTCACTCAGTGTTTGTTTTCTGTTTAGCAGATAACAGTATGGGTGAGCCGAAGAAAAAATACTGACAATGCAGTTGAAACTGTTTTGCGAATGGAAAGAACAATTAATTAAGGTTTTCAGTTGAGATAAAAAGTCAATGGCACTTGATACGTTGCTGCTCTACCACTTAAGCTATCGTGACTTCGATCTGACTATATGAAACTGATTTGATGCTAGGGTTCAAAACCAGTTGTCCTGTGTTTAGGTTGAAAAAGTTTCAGGGTTTTAAAAAAAAGACAGATTTGTTGTTTATAAAACTTTATTGAAAAGAAGATAAACCTTTTATTTGTAAATGAATAACTGTAGAAAAAAAATAAAACTTTCAACATTAACTAAGGCAGTCATATTTACAAGCATAATTGAAACATGAGGGGTCCGAATTCATATCAGAGCTTGTTAAATAACAACAAATCAACAATGAAAAACAGACGTGACTTGAAACCAAACAAAACAATAAAAACATTCTTGTGAAATCATAATTGTATCATGAACTGCAACATATCTTTTAAAAAAATCTATTTTAATATATTTACTGTAATAACAGTAAAACGACTGTTTGAAGACTGCCTTTTACAGTTGCGTGCAATTATTTGAAATAGTAATATACTTCAATATAAATAAAATAAAATAAAACACTTTATATAGTTCAACAAAATTAATATACTACAGCCCAATAAGTAATGAATTCTCAGACTTAAGTTTAAACTGTATACATATTTTGTCACTTATGACAATCAATGAGCAAAACAAACAGCATTATATACACAATAAAAATAATTAATCACTATTCTAAATGAATTATAACATACTGACTACTTATAGAAATTCATATTTACAATAAAAATAGGAAAAATTATTTTAAACTTCTCCATTGTAATGCGGCAAATATTGTTTATCATGGTTTTTATTTTCGAAAACCATTTTATTCAATTATTTTTTTATATACTGTTATTACACTAAAATCCAGTCGACAAACATCACTTTCAAAATTAAAAGCTATGGGTATCATATTTTAATTACTGTAAATTCACATTTTAAAACAAAAAGATAAAAGACAACTCGTGTAAATTTATTACGTAAGTTATTAGAAATTAAAAAGTAAATTTGAAATAAAAACTTATTTGCTTTTATCTTACATATAACATTCATCGATAAGACTTCATAAACCTATAAAACTCAAAACTGTCTTAGATTTTTGTTTTTCTTTTATTTTGTAAAATTGATGGCTAACGTTTTACAAGAGAGAGACAGAAAGAGAGAAAAAAATCGCTTAATGAATATGATACAATAAGAGAGAAAAAGAGAAATAAGGGAATGACGTCAGGCAGTGTTTAGTTGCCAAGGGAAGCAAACTATTCTTCGGGAACGGTTGTTAAAGTCCCGTAGCCGTGAAGTACAAGCTCTTCATTTACAAGAACAACCTGAAATGCAAAAAAACGGATTAATAAAAAATAAAATAAAAATAAAGCAAAGATGATTCACTTATACCGTGACATTTTTTAAAATGCTTGTTTTCTCATTAAATTAAGCATGGTTACAAAGGTAATTTCTCATGTAGAATCTGCTGGTGCGATTAAAATTTTAATAAATTGGGGTGTTAAGGCCGGACCTGATGATAAAATTTTGGTTTTTAAATTGTAATGCCCTATTTTTTTGACACATTCTGAAATTTCATTATCATTTTTTCATCATTTCATTTTTTTTAGAATGGAAAGGAAGAAAAAGGAAACAACTGTGGGAAAAAAATTCATTGATTTATTCTGGAAATGGTTAGTATATGGTGGTGAATTTTTCTTGGGGCCGTGGTAGCCGAGTGGTTAGCGTGAGAGACTCTCGGCTCGTAGACCCCGCGGTCGTGGGTTCAATTCCCACCGCCGCCTCTGTCCTTTTTTTCACGATACCCTTTCCCCCAAAACGACAACATAAAAAATCTGGATATGTTTTTTTTCCCAGAACATGTTAATTTCAATTCATCGATTATCTGGTTAAAAAATAAATAAATAAAATTGAATTTGTTTATTTATTTATTTATTTTTTAAACCTAACATTAAACAATCAGTTAGAAAATAGATTGAAATTATCGAGTTCTGAAGGAAAACGTCTAACATCTCCGGAAGGAATTATTGGTGTTTGAGTATGAATTTTTCTCACAATTTTAGTCCTTTCCCTTGTAAAAAATGATAATAGAAACTTAAAAATTCATCCATTTGTTCTAGAGATATTGAAAAACTTTCCTTCAGAACATGGTAATTTCAATTTATCATGTAACTGGTAAAAAAAGGAGAAAATGGAAAATTTGCAGTGAATTTTTTTCTTTTTACCTATCAAACAACAGTGGTTCCACGATAGAACGGAATTATTGAATTCTGAAGTAAAACATTGATGAATCGTTGAATTTTGAGGACGAATTTTTCTCACATTTAGATAATCTTTAACATTTTAAAAACTAAAAAAATCATCAATTTCTTCTGGAGATATTTAAGTTTTCTTTCAGTACTCAATTATATCCACTGGGAGCAGAAACCTGCGAAAAGGTCTAAATTCGAGTTTGTCAGAATAGTCATGCAAATGGGAGAACGATAAATTTACTTTGACAGTCTCGTTGATCGGCAATATTGCATAATAAAGAGACGCAAACGATTCAAATCGTTTTGGATCTTTCCTGCGAACTGGTGTGGACAGTCTTACAAGCGGTGGACCACAAAAAAATTAATCCTTCTTGTCCAGGAAAGGATATATTTCTTTGTATTATCTAGGCATAAATACTGTTTATTGAACCAGGAGCCATTCACAGTTTATTCCTATTTCTCCTATTTTTTGAAAAGAATGGAAGCGGGAAACACGCACTAAGATAATGTGTGTATTTTACTCTTAACTTTTATTTTACCCATGAACTGAAAAATGGTTTAAAAAAATAAATACATGATAATTATTTTTAAATGGATACACTACTTTACAAATAAAATTTAAGCCATTCCTGAGGCAAAATCAAATCTTAAATTTTTTTTTGGTGGTGGTGGTCCACTTTTTGGAAAAGGAAGTTCTACTCACAGAAGTTTAAGCTGATTACACTAGAGTAGAACTCTCGTCTTTTCCAAAAAGTGAATTGCCATACTCACCCCATCTCATACAATTTCTATTTAAGTGGGGTTCTTCATAATTTGCACACTAAAAAGCGTTTTTTTTTTTTTTTAAACAAAACTATTTGTCTATATTTTCTGTCTTAAGCATGCATGGTAAAGCAGCAAAGGTAATCAATTCAATTACAGAAAAATCATCAGCTCCTCAATATTGCCGGTACAAAATTTGAACGAATAATTTGTTGAAGTCGTCAAGAAGAAGTATTTTAGGATAACACGTTTTTTATTTTTTCCCTGACGTTATGAGATTATGAAATTATTTGGTTCAAAATTTATATATATCTTATTGTATTTTTTTTAAAGAATTAACATGTTTCGAAATTCACCCAGGACCTGAAGATGACCCAAACAAATAAAGGTAGAAACAAGGTGTTTTTCTAAAATACTTCTTGATTGCTCCTCGAGATTTCAATAAATTATTGAACGATGGGTCACTAAAACGGCAACGGACGACCAACACATGCATCGTTTCGCACGTACAGACTCTTTGAATCTCCGGAGAGTCTCGGCTGCGTCTAGCCTGAGTCCGGGCTGCCCCGACTCTTTGTTGCGATGAATCTGGTGTGTTGCGGGCTAGCATTTTGCTCTTTTGAATCCCATCCGATGTGGGATTCTTTGACTCAACGTTGCACAACATTTGCCAACAAGCGTTCTTGCTTCATTTATTTAGTTGACGTTCTAGTGAGTGTTTTCTTGAAGATTTTGGTAGTGTCTTGTATAAAGGTATGTTGTGGAGTACCGAGTTGACTTTAGAGTTTATTGAAGACATGCATTACCTTCCGTGTTTGTGGGATGTACACGGAATACAGAAATCAGGAATTGAAAAGTCAAACATTGAACGGTTTAGCCCAAAAATTCAGTGTTTTCGTCGCCGAAATTGAAAAAAAAAAAAAAAAATACACACTTTAAAATGACAGTTTTTTAATACACTACGTACAATACAAAAAAGAGCAAGGGAAATTCCTGAGAGCTAGTTCCCCCATCATTTTGCAGGCACTGATAAATGTGAACCGAATCTTGGTCTGGACACAGTTCTTTGTCGCGGAGCAGAGTCAGAGCTGCATTGGAACAATGAATCTTCGCAGCCCCGACTCTGCCCAGCAACATGAATCGATTCAAAGAATCTCAGTGTATTAACCGTTCAACATTAACGATTTTAAGAGGGAATTTTTCAAATCGTGTACAAATTACTTAGTACCGATGTAACAAACCGAAACGCCCCATCCCCACAAGAATGATTCAATGTTTGAAGGTATCTCTTACACATCACAGTATATTATTATAAGCACAATGTGTTGTGGGTGCCACAAAGGAGGTTGGCCAGGAGGTTTTACAATAATTTGACCACAGATAGAACTGCCACAGAAACTCAGGATGAAGTTTATTTTGATTATGAGGTAGACGATGAGTAATGCAAAACTTTTTAGCTTAGAGCTTTTTATCTTTTTTCAGTTGTATTTTTTACAATAATTAATCTAAAAGTTTTGCCATAGATATGTCAGAATTTTTGTTTCACTTGTCTGTTCATCTTTGAAATTAATAATAAAATTTTGTAATCATGGTATTTTCTTATTCGTTTCTTGGTTTGAAATGAGGGTTTAATGGTTTTTGTATCATGAGAATTACTCAGAAAAAACTCTAAATGTTATTACAATTATTGAATCAAACATCAAAAAAGAAACTATTTTACTAGGAGTCATGAAACTTTAAATTTAGTGTTTCTCAAATGTTGAAAAAATGGAACCTCATCATTTTTCACTGGGCCCTTCGATTAGTTTTACAGTAAAAATAGACAGTCTTTGATAAAAACTCACACAGTATATAGTAAAAGTCAGTCAAAGTTAATTGTATTGGTAAGGATTGAGAAATTAAAACTAATTTAACAATATAATCCAATTTTAAATATTATTATTATCACGGTGCAATTCAGGATAATGAGCGTGATATCGCTCTCTAGCTTCTTATCTGTTAGAATGAATTGAAAGAAGCAGAGAAAAGTCAAAGTAAAGTTGTAGTAAAGTCCTGAATGGTTTAAGGAGAATTAAACTTTAAAAAAAAAAAGAATAATTTTTTTTAGTTATTTACAAACAGTAGAATGCGAATGTCAAAATGGTAAATCGACTGTTCAAATATTAGTGGTGGTGATAACCAGCCAACAACACGAGAACAATTTTAAAATTAGTTTTGTCTACGAAGGCACAATGCTTATTCTTTGTCTTCTCTGCTTCACTGCTTTTATGATAATGAAATGTGATTAGCAACGGCAATGAGTTTCGTACGAACGTTTCATGTATAAACTTACTTCTTGACCATTTGAAGTATACAAATAGACTAGTGGTGTACAATCTTCAGCATAATCGTATATCTGCGCTTGAAGGATTTGCCCGAGAGTTAAACTCTGTACGAATAATTTCGCTTCTTCGCTCCAACCTTCTTCATCTGGAATGATACAAAAAAACAACGTTAATCGAATAAATTTTGTCGGATGTATCAATAGTTTACCTATTGGTTTAACATTAGCTAAATAACACTCGACAGCCTGGAACGGGAAATTTAAGAGGTCTCCTCTGATCTGTCTCAGATTAGATGAGGCTAAGAGCAGATAACCGCCGTAATCGAGAAATCTAACGGTTGACGTGGAGTTTTCTTCATCGACGTCGATTATCTGTGCTCTGTACCATCCTCCTGATGTTGGCGCAGCGCAAATAGCATCTATTTAAAAACCCGACAACAATTTTCTTTATTTTAAAACGTTATGTTACATGTAGAATGTCAGCATTATCTTTTAATACATGTATTTGTTCATTTTTTTTTTTTTTTTTAAATCAATGTACTTGAAGTGACCAACCTTTAACAGGTGATTCAAGCACTGGGGCTTCATCAGTTGAGTAAACTTGGTTCATAATTTGATTGAGTGCTGACAGCGAACCGTATGTCGGGTGCGACGGCTGCTGCAGGAAGAAGTGAGCAGCTGATATTAGACTTGATAAAATCACATCGTTATTGACACCTTCGACTAATTGCAACTGTAAATGGAGATTGAATCAATTATTCAAGATGGCCGATAGATTTTCGACTGAGATTCTTGGGATTGCTCACATGGAAATCTTCCATTTTTAATGGTGGATAATTATTGAGAGTTACAAATGAGACTTTCTCGAGTGTTAACTGTGGAAAACGGCGGAGAGGGAACTTTTGTCTTATTTTCGCTAGTGCCTTATCTATATCTTGCTGTGTCCCTAGAAAAATTAAAATAATTAAAAAGAATAATAAATATGTGACAATAAAAAAATAAATTACCTTCAATGGCACAAATTTTAAGTTTATTCGTATCAGGATGTCTTTTGATAAATATATTTGTTTGTGTACTTGTACGTATTTCATGGAGAAATGCTCCATGCCTTCCTATCAATCTTCCAACAATTACCTTGAAAAAAGTTAACAATTAAATAAAATTAAATAAAAAATAAATTTAAAAATTTACCTGTGGAAGGACAAATTCGTATAAAGAGAGAGTAGCTAGGTCTCCGGCAAGACTGCTACCACCTGCTGGAGTCCTTGAAGGGGATGTGGCTACATCGCTGTGACCTTTTCCGCTGTCACTCGACCCTTCACTGTGAGCATCGCTGAAGTTGCTTATTGAAGGACTGGCCAACATGACCTCAGACGGGCTGTGATTAGCCGAGTCCCTTTCGGTGTTTTCCTTCTGTTTCTCATCGCGGATTTTCATGGAATCGAGCTCCAAGTTCACCAGCTTGTCAGCTAGATCTCCTTGTGCGACCTTTTTCATGTTTTCTTCTTTACCTAAAGGCTCGCTTTTCTCCTTTACGAAACTGTTCTCAGTTGAAGATGATTCTAGTTCACCTTCTTCCAAATCCGGTCTTGTTTGGACGAAGTTCGAATCAGACTGTTCTGAACGCTGATCAACAGCTGAGGGATTTACAATCTCCGTTTCTTCTTTTTCTTCTTCCTCTGATGAAACTATTTCACCTTCTTCTAATTCAGAAGTTTCCAGCACTTCACACTTATCGTTTTTATCGAGTACAGCGATCACACTGTCTTCTAGAGTAGAAGACTTCTCTTCTAGAGATAAAATTGCTGAAGTCTCTGCACTACTAATTAAAGTTTCAGATTTATCAAATGTTTCCTCGATGGACTTAAGTGATAAATCAACTGATGGAAGTGCGAGAGATTTGACGCAAAATTCTTCAACTTCGACAGGCGATTCACCAGATTTCACGATGTCATCTGGTCTAGCTTGATCTGCTGTGATGATTTCCTCCAGGAACTTCTCCTCGACTGAAACGTCCAACGTTTCTTTCGGAGGGACGGCAAATTTCAAGTTTTGACACGAGTCTTTTTCAATTGGTTTCACTTCCAATTCTTCGGGCTTACAACTGTTAGGTGTATTGTCCGTAGTCCCACCAGGGTCTGTGTGAGTGTCGCGACGTCTTCGATGGCGTTTTAACCAGAATACGCCTATCAATATAGCGAGCGTAGGTAAACTCAGGATCAATAGTTCGCGTGTGGACCCACGTGGCATTCTCCACAAAAAACGTCAGTTCCCTGCAACAGAGAAAAAACAAAATTTATTTATATTTTTATTTTAGTCGATCAATGTTATATTTATAATAACTAAAATATAATAACTAATATTAGGCTCAGATCAAATATCAAATAGGAAACATTGCCCTGATATGATGCAAATGATTTGACCAAAACAAACCAAATCCAACTATGTTCATTTGATTTTTTCAAAATTGGTAAAGATTGATTATAAGCCGGGCTTTTGTATTAATCTCCTTTTGTATTAGCCGAATGCAGAGCAAAGATTCGCTGAATCCCAGCAAGTGCAGATGGGTGCTCCGTTATTCTCTGTGCAACAATATTTGTCTGTTTCTAAGTGCACAAATAATCGTGAAGTAGATGAACTGAAACCATCCATTTCTATTCGGGAATCAACTGTGCTATCAACATTGCTATTTACTATTCAATAATAAACAATTCCTAACTAGTATAGATGTATTAATGAAAGAACATCATAGCACTGTTTCTGTTGGTTAGGAATGGATTGGCCTAAAAATCTTGGAGATGATGGGTTTTGGTCAGCGAGTTGGTGAACTCATGATGAACTGGCACAAGGTCACTGGGTCTGTCTCCACTCACCGGTTTAAGTTTAGTGTGAGTCAGTTGAATTGTTAGTGAGGCATTGTTTGTTAAACAAAATGTTACCAATTGTATTATGCAGTTTCCACCCGTGATGTAGAGAGCCACAAAGTAACCCAGTGCCACTCAATGTGAGTTCGCTGACTCTCAGACCAAAACCCACCATCAACTCTAACACAGACAGATTTCGGTACTTAAAAGCATAAACTAACAAACTACTGCTGTTTCCGTACAAACTGGCTGTTTGTACTAACTCTGCACGTGCGTATACATTAGGCATGCTATTTGGCGAATGCACCAAGATATCATCAGGTAGTTGTGTTTCCGCAGGTTTTGGAGATTTTGGATGCATTCACTGACTAATTTTGATGTAATTCTTTTACACGCTAATGCTTGAATGGCTGCTTGGCTATCAGATTTTATGAGGATTTGTTTTGCCAGTGTAACCTCTTTTAAGATATTCCAGGGCACAAGCATTGATGGCATGTATTTCTGCTTGAAAGACCGAAGTGTACTTCCCTAATGAGTTTGATTGCTCGTGTTTTAGGCTTGTACAGAAAACACCTGTTCCTTGGTTTGTTTTGCAGCCATCTATATACCACATCATTGTAGGAAGTTGTGAAGAATGTTTAGGGGTCATGGTCCGCCTGACCAATTAATATATTACAATTAAGGCACGAGTGGGATTCGAACCCACCATCTTCGGCTTGATACGCCGTTGCTTTACCACTTGAGCTATCGTGACCTCGATCCACTCGGACACCCCTCCCATCTTAACCGCACCTTTTGAATTTTCCCTACTTTTTGCCATTTTTCTCTTCGTGCCATTGACTTTTTTATCTCAACTAAAAACCTTAATTAATTATAATATATTAATTGGTCAAGCGGACCACGAAATTAGTGAATTTAATGATTAAAAATGAAGTGTACTTCACTAAAGCTCTCCGTGGCCATTTCATTTGTCGTCGAGAATCCAACCCGATTACACGACATTTGAAAAATGGCAAAAAGGAGGGAAAATTCAAAAGGTGCAGTTGAGATGGTGGGAGGTTGGTGTCCGAGTGGATTGAGGTCACGATAGCTCAAGTGGTAGAGCAGTGGCGTAACAAGCCGAAGATTGTGGGTTCGAATCCCACTAGTGCCATTGACTTTTTATCTCAACTAAAAACTTTAATTAATTGTTCTTATCAAAGATTATTCCTAGGTATTTGACCTCACTTTTTAGTTGCAGCATTTCGTTATAGTGCTCGCCTTGCTCAGATAATTAATTATGTGTTTCCTTGCCTGCTTCAAAGTGCACAAATATTCGTGAAGTAGCTGAACTCAAAGCATCCATACCTTCAGAAATCAATCAATACTGCTATATATTTTTCAATAATAAATTATTCCTAAATAGTACAGATGTATTAATGAAAGAACAACAACACGAACACGCATGTGTGTATACATTAGGCACACCATTTAGTGAATGCCAAGACAAGCATCTCGAGACATGGTAAATGTTCAGCAGCAATTGACATTACTGCAAGTCTGGAGCCATCTTTACCCAAGCACAGAAGCCTTCTGGCTTATTCTACTTTCCTAGTTCCTTTCCTCCTCATAGCATAGCCTACAAATGGGGTCATCAATAAATATGCACAGTAGATGTTTACCAGTGACCGGTAAATGGTCCTATCACACCTCTGAGTTAAGCCCACTGTAACTGTAGTGGAGAATTTGCCAGACTTGGTGAGGGTTGTTTTATTATAAGTTTACTGTGCCTAGCACCTCTAGAGGTTTATCCACTTCTCCTTTTCCTACTTTGGATCCATTCTGCGATGGACCATTCTATGTTTGTTTTTGTTATCCCAAGGAAAGGTTCAGGGCATATGGATTTGCAGATCCTTCTCTGGCCAGTGTCTGCTTTTTCCTTACCCAAATTCCCTTATGTCCTGGTACCCAAGATACCAGCAAGTTGTCTCCCCTGGTTTTGTAGATTTTGGATGCATTCAGTGACTAATTTTCATGCGATTTTGTACATGCTTAATGCTTTACTAGCTACTTGGCTATCCAATCTGATGAGGATTTTTTTGTCAGTTTAACTTTTTTAATGATCTTCTAAGTCACAAGCGTTGATCGTACATACGTTAGCTTCAAAGACCGAGATGTACTTCCCTAATGAATTTGATTGCTCATGCTCTGGGCTTACTAAAAAAAAAATTAGGATGGATGTCTGATTTTATTAATTATTGTTGTATACCAAAAGTGTTTAGTCCACATCTGGTCGTTTGATTGTTTCTTGGAGCCTAAATCAGCTTTCCTCACTTCTTGTATAAATATTTTCAATGGAGGTAGATTTACCAGTGTTTCTAGTGCAATTGACAGAGTTGTTTCACGTCTGGTCTATTTTGGATCCATTCCGTGATATTTTTGTTTTGGTTTGTTTTAGTTATCCCAAGAATAGGTTCATTCAGGGCCTATATTTGGTTATGCAGATCCCACCTCTGGCTAGTGTCTGCTTTTTCAATACCTGTGTCCTGGTATGACATAATCCTGGTAAAGACATCATCAGGTTGTGTTTACCCAGGTTTTGAAGATTTTGGATGCATTCACTGTCTAATTTTTACAGGTTTTAATGGCTAAAATACGACCTTATGAGATTTTTGCTACTCTTTAAAGATCTTCTAAGGCACAATGAATTTATCTAAACTCCACACCTTTAAGGATCAAATCTACAAGAATAAGTAAAAATAGGAAAAATTTTCAAATAAACTTTAAAATTTCTTATCTGTTCTGCTCAGTCAGTTGATTTGTATCGAGAAATTACAGCAATGACTGAAGAAAAAAAATAGATAGTACGACTTTTGGGGGCCGACGACGTCAAAAGTTTAACACACGAAAAAAATCAAAAATATCTAGCCTATTAATTGAAAAACGGGTTGGGCCTTGCCGGGACACGTTAATATTTCAAAAGGGTCAAAAGTAAAAGTGAGCAAAAGCCGACGAAGCGGTCGACTTTCAGCGAAAATGAAGTCGGCCTTCGGCGAAATGTCAGGTCGTTTAACAGAGAAAATCCGCCAAAGCCCCTGGAGAAAAGGAAATCTGGATTAAATCCAAATAAATTCCGATACTTGGTTGACTCGAGAAGACGAATAGTCACGAATGGGTCTCCTTCTTCCACGTCTTCTTTATCAAACGACAGGATGCAAACCATCCCACGTCTTAAGACTACGATGATTTGAACCTTCCATCTCAGTTTTTCCCCTCATTTACATTATTTCAATCGTTAACATTAACGTCGTTTAAAAGCAAACAAATCGTAAGAACAGTACCAACTAGAGAGGCGAATTTCCATTAGCTCGGCATTGTAATTAAATTAATCCTCATATGTTTAGCGGTCATAATTGGCCATGTTTTCAATACTAGAAGTATCGACCACTTTTTCCACTTACGAACACTCTAGGATCAAGGTATGGGTCTTGAAGGAGAAAGCAAATTTAGTTGCTACTGCCAAGCCCTCGACCTATTTTAACGCCATCAACAGGGCAAAAAGATCTTTAAAGATGTCTACATATTGACATATTTTAGTTTTTACAGGCGATGCTTTCCCGTATGCTCGGCCGTCCTTAAAAGGACAATGAGGATCTTTAACGTCCGCACCTAGCCTATTCGGCCTTATCGGACGTTTTGATTCTAAGGATGAGAGCTGACGCACCTCCGCATACGACAGAAGGTGTTACTGCCGCAGCGTTTGGTGTAGAGGCAGCTCATCCCCGAAGGCCCAAGACAACCTCGCTCCCCGCTTGCCCATTCCGAGTGGTCGGGTCCGCTTTAAGCATCGAACCGTATGCCGCGCGCAAAGAGCTACCTAAGCCGAAATACATCAGCCTGGTCACCCGCGCACTCCCTAGGTAGAGAAGGTCACTCTACCACCCAGAGTATTGGGGCTTCCCCAGCGTAGAAACTACCGGATCCGCTCCGGCCGAGGTTTGGTTTTGAGTGGATTGCTAACCACCCCCTAGAAGAGACCGCCTACGGTAAAAGCCTCCAATCGAGCTCAGCTTACACCTACGTGCAAAGCATACTGGAGTAGGAGCAACCGATTCTCTACCCATTCCCATCCGCCACTACTCACGCATTCCAGGGACTTTTCAGCATAATCATAGCGTCCTCAACGCTTATACACTGCCGTCCGATCCGCCGAATCCCGTGAGGCCGGGTGTGTAACGGTGGTCATACGCAAGTTTCATACGAAGGTCACAGATAGAAGACAGCTTCTACTCTAAATTCCCGCAGGGGCATCACCACGTACCACTACAAATCCATTCCCAGTGTGGCAGGGGCTGGATTTTGGAACATTTCTGTTACCCCGTAGTACAGATAGAGTTATGCACCCTCCTCCGTCTATGCAGACAAGATCT